CTCTAAATGACTTCATGTTTGATAGTCGTTTTCGGACTTCATGAAAATGGTCGTTCAAGAATTATGTTCTTTCGTTTTCGACCCGAGATAACTTGGTCTATTTTGTACCTACATTTTCAATGAGCCATTTTGTTTTACGTATTTGTATCGGTATGTTAATACAGATAGTCATTTATTGAGCAAGTGGTGTAAGTACTGAAATTTATTTGCACAGATTTTGTTATCGGATACATTTTCGATGTTAGTTGCTGCGCTGTCATGTATCGGACGGAGTACCATGTCATCCCTGTGAATATTCTGTATGTTTTCTCTGCATTCAATTGTATTTGGTTCTGTAATGCTTTCGATTTTTTTTGTGATGTAGAAGAACTTGTCATGGAATGTGTAAATATGGTTACGCAATGGATTCTAAGTCACATTTCTTTCACTCTCTTTGTGATCCCCATTATCCAAACATTTACTCGCAAGATAATGAATAATGGGTCATCGAGTCAATAAAAGTGGGAAGTTGAAAATTATGATAAATAGACGGATGATCATCGAGATTCTTCTTTTTCAACTTTATCACCAATCGATCCAATAGATATTCCATTGAAAAATACTGGTTTAAAATCATCATCAGAACAAGCAACACGTTGTGCATCGGGTTATTCTGAATATGAACATCCGCATTTAATTAATTAAATACTTTATATTTTGATTTTGAAAATATTTTTTTTCAATTAATTCTTTTTCTTGTTGTTCCCTCTAAGGTTGTCTTCTTTAGGTTATAGTGTGTATTTATTATTTTTTTTCATTATATTTCATTTGTGCTTTCTATTATAAATGCAAAGCCCTAATGAGTATTTCAAATTTTCTAATAAAATAAACATGGAACGCGTCGGTGAAAATAATCTACATTTCTTTTTAATGATTTTAATTGAAGCACATTTATGTATTATCCTATTTAGTTTTACGACAAAAAATTGATTGCTGAAAAGGAAATGTTGAGACTAGCAGATTGATTTGTATTATAGAAATATAAGCCGATCTGTTTTTCAATTGAATTTTGTAAGTTAGAATTGAATAGCAACACTTTAAAATTTAATAGCCGAACTTACCTAATGATGACCTTTAAGCAAGGTCGAAACCGCTCGTAAGTGTAGCTTGTACTGTTAAATGAAATTCATTTATATACACACCCACACCCACACCCTAATAGTAATTATTCTTTGTTTGTGATTTCTTTTCTTGAGATGATATGAACATGTAAAGTTATTATTATTGTTATCGTTATTATTATGCAGAGTCATAGCCATCTGATCAGACACTTAAGCAAGGTCGAAATCTAGATCATGGCATGCTTGACACGTCCACCACACTATGTTTCTTGTAGGCGGTTTTGTAAAGTTGAATTTAGTTTTCAGGGCGGCCACGTGAGATGTTTCTTTGTGTTGAAACTCAATGTACCTCGTAAATATTATCTGAGCTCTGTAGGTTTATCTTTCCGTTTTATTCTTCTCAACGGTTTTATAACAAGATGCAATATATTAAAACAGTTTTCGAAATGCTAAACAGGTTTATTATTAATCGAATTTCATAAAAAAAAATAGAACGCTTTACAATTTCAACAAACCCTTAGTTACATGATATAAAAATTTGATTGTTGTCCGTTGAATTATAGAAAAAAATATGTTCTATTTTTTTCTTTTTCGATCAACGATTTCGGCTAACAACTGTGTCTCCAATCGGATACCTAAATTGACAATATAGGTTGAGAATGAATAGCATTCTACAAAGAACGAAGAATTATAAACTACTTACCAATCGGTGCGAAATCGTTAGAATTCTCCAAACATAATTCTCGGCCACTCTTCTCCCACATAAAGTATTGATCAAATTGTTTGAATCCGTACCGTTTAGATATTTCTTCACATACGTTGATGATGTCATGTAATTGTGTCTTTTCTTCATCATTCATGCTTCCGTTTGATGGTTTTGGTTTCATCCAAATAAGTCTTTGTTTACCACGACGTTTGCTTTTGCATACTCGAGACAGGTAATTACAGACATTATCCAATTTTTTCGTGTAGCTTTTCAACAGTTCTTCAAATGGTTTTTGAGACTTCTTGACTTTGGTACTATAAAATAAAAAAATAATTTCATTTTTTTTATGAAGTCATCTTTAAAGTACTTACTAATTCATGTCCATGTAATAGGAAGAAAAGATAACAAGATCAATGTGAAGATTTTTTAATCTGTTGAGAAAATCAATATTTGTTTGTGCAGTATGATTCATGATTGTCGGAAGATGAATATAAATGCATGTTGTACCAGATTCTGATTGATCAAATCGACGGATATCTTGATACTCATTCATTCCAATTTGTCTACCAAATTTCAAACTATTTTCATCTGAAACAGACGATTATAAAGTAATTCAATAATCTCGTGAATAAAATAGGCAAAATAAAAAGTACTACATACTTTTAATAGGAGTATATTCACCGTTTTGTTGTTGAACTTCTTTAACATCCAATAATGTTCCATTTGACAATAATTTGATTAAATCATGGTACAGTGTTCGTATTAATGGATCACCAATATATAAAATTGTATAATCATGAAATATTTTCATAGCATCAAACTTTGTAATAGTAATTTTTTGATGGGTACTGACTTCTTCTTCTTCTTCATTTGTTTCTGATGCATTACATGTATTCGTAATTGTTGTATCCTTCTTTATGTGTGATATTTTGGGTAATTCCCAAACACTAGTATAAAACCGCTGCCCAATTTTATTTGAGCTTCCATCAACATTTGAATTATCTTTTTTGGAGGACATACTGTATATAATGATCTAAAAACATAATGAAATATAAATCTGAAGAAATAATATCATTTACTTACTTTGAACGCACTATTCAGCTTCGATGTATGGTTAGAAAATGAAATCGAATGGTACACACTCGATCTATTTATAGAAAATGGTCCCTTGCTTGGAGTGTACCGATCTATCTATGTCCACTCAAATCGAGTGTATTCATCTCCACATCCACTAGAACCAAGTGTACCTATCTTAGTGTCCACTAGAACCAAGTGTACCTATCTTAATGTCCACTGGAACCGAGTGTACCTATCTCCATGTACACCCGAACCGAGTGTACCTATCTCCATGTACACCCGAACCGAATGTACCTATCTTCATGTACACCCGAACCGAATGTACCTATCTCCATGTACACCCGAACCGAATGTACTAGTGTATATATATAAGTATCGCTACATAAACATTTGTATTCGAAAACCAAAACTATTCATTCGAGATCCAGTGGACATACAAACAAATGAATACTACTGTTTCAACATCCTTTGAAGAACACATGGCATTACCGGATTTGGTGATAGATGCATTACGTAGTCTTACTTCGAATAGAGGTAACGTATTCCAATTAAATTGTTTTAGAAAAAAAAAATTATTCCAATATTTTTTAATTTTCTAATTCTTTTTCTTTCTACTAGGTCACATGATTACCGAAGGACCCGAAATAACCAATTTCAGTCATTCAAGGAATTCATCATCACGTATTTCATCTCACATTAATGAACCTGCTGGCTTAATTACCAACAACATTACAAATCCTGCCGTTTCATCAGCATCGATACCATTATCATCAACACCTTTTCTACCACCACCGCCTTTTCTACAAAATTCACATCTTTCACCAATACGACAGAGACGAGCAACGATGATACATCGTCGAAATCCTGCTACAAATCCAAACGAACCATTTCTATATTTACCTCCACCTCCATTTCAACATACAACAACAGCATATAATCATCCATCATAAAACATTGTCAAGAATTCCATTTAGATTATTCACAACGAAATTCTAACTTAGATAAATTTCATTCGATTTATAGACGTAAGAAAATATAGACTATGAAAACGAAAAAAACATTGGGTGTAACTAAATAAATTCTTATGTAAGTTTGTTTTTCTTTCGATGAATAAACATTTTTCTTTGAATTGGTCTTTTATTTTGTATTAATTAGATAAACGAAAAGAAATTTATTTTCCTTATATATCAATCTAACCATGGGAAAAATCATACTTTGTCCATCAAAGATCTTCATTTCTTTTTATCTGGAGACATTTCTTATATATAATTCACAATATGATGACTTGAACAATCAACAATGCTATACAACAACGTAAGAATGACGACAACAACGTAGAACCATAGCGGCTTTGGTCAGTTAGTTATATAAGTTTTGTTTATGAACTATAAATGATTATCATTGGAAATATAAAATTCTTCACTGTTTTTAGGATAATATTGATGTACAGTAGTGGCCAAAAGTCCCACCGCTAGACGAAAACTATCTAAATAAGGACTGTTTGGTTTGAAACTGGTACCAAAGTAAGGACTTGCTCTGTCCTGATCGCATTCAGAAGCTAGAGTCCTGCTTCCTTTACTGAGGCTGAGATATCAGGTCAACACCAAGGATTTTACGTTAATATTTTTGATGAAATTATGTGATATTTCAAGGAAATGCTGATACTTTTCGATTTGCTGAAGTAAGGGTAATATTTTTAATGCAATAGCTAGCTCCGATGGTGATATACCTGTGCTAGAAAGGTCACTTCGATTTATCGTACCCTGGTGATTTCCGAGAGCTGTCGGTCCGGGGATATAGAATGATATAAATCTCTACTTCTGTACTGGCTATAGTTCTGAAAATTTTAGCATAGATTTGACCATACTTATACAGTCTATAATGAAATTTTCAGGCCGAACGGTTGAGCCTAGCTGGATATTTGAATCAAATACTGGTAGGGTTGCATTATGCCAATTCCGTGGACAAGCAGTATATAGGCCATAACTTAATGATGACACGTCAGTTTATAATGAAAATTTTACTGAACTGAGACCAAGAGCCCAGCTTTCCAACGATGGGTCGAGCGGCATGGTATCTCTTTCCTAGCCCAAGATAACATAATAAGAAACAATCCTTGGTGTGGACCTGATATCTCAGTCTCAATAAGGGAGGCAGGACTCGTGCTCTTGTATGCGATCAGGACTCTCCAAGTCCTTGCTTTGGTACCAGTTTCAAACCAAACAGTCCTTATTTAGATAGTTTTCGTCTAGGGGTGGGACTGTTGGCCCCTACTGTATATATATATATATATATATATATATGATATTGACAATAGTGGAGAGTTGTTAGTATCACGTTTTTATGACAACTAGAGTAAATGAACAAGAACTTGTCATCATTAAGCTAACTTTTTTTTTCCTTTCCTATCACAATCAATAGAGAAAAGATTGCTATGATTGACTAAATGAGTTTTTCATAATCTTTGTTATAAACTTACAGCGAACGTTATCATAAAAATGTAGAAATTATTTTATCTGAAAATATTAGAAATCTGTTTTGTACATTATGTTACAAAACAATTTCATAGAAACAGAAAAAAAAATTATTGGCCTTCGCAGTGAATGACAATTATTATCGACACTTTGACTGAGAAATCTTCTCAAATTAAGAATGCATTTCCTTTTCTTCGATAGAAATAAACAAACGAAGATACCAATGTACGAATACAACACGATACATAGCCATATTCTCAGTAGAATCAACTATTTCATAAATACAAGTAACGTTCAGCGACATCGAAGGTCGATTCACTAACCCCTAGACTGACGGCATGATGACAAGCAGATGGTTCTATTTTCCTGGTCATTTATGCCATGTAAATGGTAATTTGTATCATCGAAATGGTCATTTGTGCTACAAAAATGCTCATTCGTGCCATAAAAATGGCCATTTATGGCATAAAAATGGTCATTTATGCCCCAGAAATGGTCATTTGTACCACAGAAATGGTCATTTGTACCATAGAA